AGCCTGAAGCCTAGGCACCTCCACATTTCCGTTAACCACTGCATTATATGTCCCAAGAAATCCCCAGGATGTGTTTCCCCGCTCATCTGGAGTGCCCTCCCAGAGGCACCTGCTGAGAATTGGCAGTGTCCCCCTGCCTGTCAAAATGCATGTCCTATTTTCCCAAAAACTGTTTGCCAAGAGTGTTCTCAGACAACCAAGGGCATGTAATTGAGCTTCTGAAAGAACATGCCCTTGGGTGAGTTTCAAAGGAATGCTACAAATTAAGATAATAGATGATTATGTAAAACATGAGTCAAAACTGTCAGAAGACCACAGTCTCAGAAATTATGAACTTGGCACGCTGGTCTACGTGGCCCCACGGCTGCCCACTGAGTTCACGTCCTCCATCACTTTAACTAGAGGTCTGGCTGCCTCTCGAGGTTGCTGTAATTTATATTTATTTCCTTGCGCCGTAAGCCTGCATTTGTAGAAAAACTTAGGAGATCTACTCCTGAGCTGAGGGTAAAACCTATCCAAGCAGATGGTGGGGTGGTGATCAGGGTGTCACATGAAGAGCGTGCTTCTGCCGGGTGAAGCTAAGGACTTTGTGGAGGGCTCCTGAGTGTCTCCAGACGGAATACCAAGTATACTCATTGGCTGGTACTCTGCCACCCACCTCTGCCATGCATGCCAACCAGAATGGCTCCCCACCACTTCTCTTCTGCTCTCTTTGGGTGCTCTTCCTGTCCAAGAAAAGCCCAGAGAGTCCCAACCCCTGGAAAACCCCCAGAGGACGACTTTAAGAGCTGGCAGACTGCCCTTCCCCTTCTCCTGGGAGGGATGAGCTGTGCTCCAGGGTGGCTGGGCATTCATAGCGACTTTTGAGCCTAGTGGCCCAATATGCAATTCTGGGCAGCAATACACACTCTATCCGTTCCCGCTTCTGTTTCTTAAGCTTGTCACCTCCAGAGCAGACTACTCAGGCAGCAACCTGGCCTCAGGTCCTGCTTCTGCACAATGACACTGGGACCTCAAGAAGCTCACCTGGCAAACTGCCTCTCTGTAGAAGGAGCGGGGGGCTGTGTTCTGCCCGGCTCCTGAATGGTTAGCTTTACACCCAGAAAGAACAACACACAAACTGTATTCATTTCAACGCTGCTTGGCCCATTAGTTTCAGCCTCTTATTGGCTAATTCTCACATCTTGCTTTAACCCATCTTTAGTAATCTGTGTAGCACCGCGAGGTGGTGGCTTACCGGGAAAGATCCTAACCTGGGTCTGTCCCGGAGAGGAGAGTCATGGCAACTGCCTGCCTCGGCTTTCTTTCTCCCACAATTCTGTTCTGTCTTTCCCACCTACCTATGTTCTGACCTATCAGGCCAAGCAGTTTTCTTTATTAATTAACCAATGAAAGCGAGATAGATAGATAGAAAACCCTCCTACATCACCTCTCCCTGTATCTTGGCTTCTTTCTCTGGTTCCTGATAGACATAGCTGAGCAGGGAATCAAACTAGCTCTCTCCAAAGAAGAGTCTGCTCTGGCTGCTTGTGCCTGCTCTTGGAGAGAATGCAACTGTCCCTCAGACAGCCTAGCCTGGGAGAAAAGCAATAAAGCTCTCTCTCTTTTTTCCAGAGCAGTAGCAAGGCACCGATTTTACCAAGGTCTGGGGATTCCAGCTTCCCAAACTTGTACTGGCTCGCTGTGTCCAGTTTTCTGCACCTCCAGGGTCCCCAAGCAGAAGCCCTGGAGTAAGCTGGGCAAGCGACTTCCTCAGCAGCTCCAGAAACCTAGACTGGGTGGCTGTGGACCCAGTGGGCTGTGCAGCTTCCTAGTCCCTGCCACCTTCACAGTGACCGGGGGTTAGAGTAGGCTATGGTCCTAGTTATCTATGTCCCTTGATCTTCGTCTGCTCCTTTGGCCTTTGACCCCAGTGTCTGCCAGTTTCAAGCACTACCCTGTTCTTTCTGCGGCAGTCACCACTTTGTTCCTGACCTGCTGGACTGAACTGACTGTCAACACCACAGCAAACACGGGAAAGAGGTGGGGGTTGCGGTGGGGGTTGCGGTGCTCATTGGCTCGGCTGAGGGCTTAGAAAGAAAGCTTGCTTTTCTTTGTTTCTTCTTGAAGCAAACAACTTGTTTAACTTGAATTGATTGGCCATTTGACCCGGGCTCCCAGGGGCCCGGGGGCAGCCTGATAGAGTTGGTAAATAGAGGAGGAGGAGGAGGAGAGTAGGGGTTCAAGGCCTCCTTTCTTCATCCTCCTTTAGGCTGGCCCAAAGGAAGAGGAAATATGCTGTCTTATCTTCTTTCCTCTAAATGGTCTGTTTTGAAAACATTCTCAACGTTTTGTTTACAAAACAACAAACCCTTCTCTGAGGTCTCTATCCCTGGCCTTGGGTATTACACTAGATCTTCCAAACTCACCCTTTCTAGGTAAGCAGGGGGCTGTGGGCGCTCTTGATGTACCACCAACTCAGATGTCTGACTTTAAAAAAAAAAATCAAAGAGAAAAACCTGCCTGTACCCCAGGGAGATAGCAAACACCGGAGGATGGGCCGTGGATGACATGGGCCACACACATGTGTACACAAAGGTACGTGCTCCCCGACAGGAGTCACAAACAGGGATCCAGGCCAGTGACCGGAGCACAGAGAGAAGTGCAAGAAAAGGAGCAAAGAGATAGCTGGAAAGTTCTGTGTCTCTTAGTTTGAAATGGAGGTGTTGGAATCTCTGCGTTGAGTCTGGACAAGTGCAACCTATTATTTTTTTTTCCATTCTCTTTTCTCAGTAACGAAAATGAAAACAACTAACATCTTCAAGTTTATACAGATTCATTTTTTCAATTTTATTTATTAATGTATGGGTCGGAGCTACAACTGGCAGACAACCCGTTCTCTCTCTCTACCATGTGCGATCCAGAAGTTGAAGTCGGATTCCCAGGATTAGGAGCGAGTGCCTTAACCTTCCACGCCATCTCACTGGATCCCAGACTAATTTTTTTTGTCAAAATTAATTAATTAATTAATTAACATAACTCAAAAGCTTGTGTGTTTGGAGGTTGCTTGGTGTTGCTTGGTAAGTTTATAGGCAGCTCTCACTCCATAGCCCAGGCTGGCCTTGATAATTTTACAGATCATCTCTCATGTCATAGCCCAAGCTGACCTTGGTAAGTTTATAGGCAACTCTCACGCTATAACCCAGACTGGTCTTGAGTTTTCTAAGCCTTTCCCCTTTGTGTGACTCTAATTCCACACCAGGCTTTATGTTTTCAATTCACATTCATAATTTACATTTTCTGACAAGGAATTTGATGGCATTAATTAAAAGTCTTTCAAGTGTTCACTCCTTTGGCCCAGAAATTTGCAGTTTTATAAGTCTATACGAAGAAGTTATTTACACTATATTACTCTCAAGAATCCCAGCGCTGATCACAGTAACAGAAACCTGGAGGTTGCTGTTACTTTTCCGTCATAGGATTAGGGGTGAACACACGCTATGGCACATACTGTCACAGGATGCCATTCAGCTATCAAAATTACCATAAAAATTGTAATGCGCAGGAAGTGATTTTAGCAAAAGATAAGAAATAAAATCAAGTAATGCATGCTTTCAAATAAGTGAGATATATACTCACGTGTGCTTCTACAGCCACACATGTTCTCAGTGTATCTGTATGTCATGTTTCTGGAAGCTCCAAGGAAGGAGCAGGGAGCCTAGGGATTTGTACATATTCCCAAACTGACAATTAGTACCAAAGCACAGGAGATTTTGTCGAACCTGGAGCCCGCTCCTTGGCAGGCTGGGGGCGTCTGCTCTGGTAGCATGTCACTGACAACCACAGCCTTGCATTTTTGCAGCTTCCTGAAGAGAGGATCACAGACCTGTTGGGAACAGAAAGCAGACAGTACACTGAGGACTGTCAAGGGCTGGCCAAACCTGGGACTCAAAAGACGAGAGGAGGCTCCGCTCCAGCAGTTCCGTTTTCTCTGGAATGGTTTTATTATATAAATGTGCACCACATGTATGCACGCAAACAAATTAACAAATGTCTTGTGTTTACCTCTTATATCATCCAGTAAACCTATTTTCATTGTTTATCATTAAAAAGTCATATCCAACTATAAAGCTTGTGTTTTGTGTTTCAAAATGACAAGATGATTAAAATGCATCCCTGTGTAAACGATTTCCTCAGAGCAGTTCAGGCTCTCCAAGCAGAACAATGTCGGCAGAGTTTCAAGCTGCCAGGCCTTCCAGAAAGTTCCAGAATTAGCTTGTCGCCTGCTGTCTTGGTTCATACTTCCGTGACTCTTAGAATGATTAGGATGAACACCAAAACCTTTAGGAACTTGTCAGGATGCCCAATTTAAAAAAACTCCCTTTCAGCATCCACTCCATAAGTCACGCTAATCAGGGCCCTCTGTGTTTGGAATTCAAAAGATTTTCAATCCCCACGAGAAAGTCAAGTTCCTTGCTCCTTGCCCTGTCTACCTTGGGCATCTCCTACACAGCATCCATCACAATTATGGTCTGTGCGTTTCTTTTTCTCTTTTAAAGCAGGATCTCACTCAGTAGCTAGGCTGTGCCTCAGTCCTCCTGAGAGCTGGGATTGATAGGCATGCCCCTATGATGTGGGGTATGTGTGTGTCTTTGCTCACAGCCTGTCTCCTCTAATAGACAAGGACAGGGTGGGTGATGCTGCTTCTACCTTTAGTCTGTACATTGTGCTTACGCCTGTCTATGACCTATACTAGTGAGCATTTGTTGTTTCTATCTTGGGACCTTTCAGAATTTTCTAGCTCTTCTAAAGCGTACCACGAACCATTATAGACCCCAGTGAACTCGTTGTCCTGTAGAAGGAGAGCTCATTTCTCCAGCTAATTTTATCTTGGTTCCCATTATCCAATCAGTATCTCTAGCCCTCTTCCTTACCTCTCCTACCCACTGGTGATCACTAGTCTTCTCTCTACTGTTGCGTGTTCTACGTGTTTGCTTTGGCAAACAAGTGAAAGCCATGTCCAGGTTTGAGACAGGCTAATTGCAGCTGGCACTATCCACTCCAGCTCCACCCACATTGCAAATGACAGAATTCCGTCTTCTTTGTGACTCCCTCATGTATACCTACCGTATTTTCCTTGCCAGTCCTCTAATAATAAATGGCTTGGCTCATTCCATATCCTGGCATGCACAATGCACATACAACAATGAGCTTGGAAGTGCAACTATCTCTTTGACATAATGGTCTTTGTTTAATGCCTACCAATGCAGGAATAGCTTCGATTTAATAACATTGATTTAGTGTACCGCCATGTCCCTGGCACTAGCACAATACAGGGTATCAGATGCTGACAATGTCCCATGACACCTGGGACACTTTTGAGCTGACCTGCAACTTGACAGCATTCTATGTCAAGTAGTCGTTGCTGTCTAGGATAGTGCCATAAGGACCCAGGCAAATCAAAGCCTCCAGTCTCAACTGCTGAGGGCCAGGAGTTGGTATCCTACCCAGCCTGCTTCCCTATCTGTGTAGACCAGGATCAAATGCTCTGTGTGTTTTCTCAGCGGTCTCCTCATCAATGTCGTCCTCACAGGCTCCCCGTCCTTGTAGTCTTAGGTGTCGACCGATCTTACCCTTGCTTGATGAGCAACATACCAAATGGTGCACCTGCACCCTCATTCCTTGTCTCCAGCCCTGCCTTGGCGTGAGCAAACCCGGGGCATTTGGCTGACTTCAGGGCTGAGAGAGGAATTTTCTGAAAGAGAGGATGACTGAGTCCGCTCAGTCTGACTGGGGAATGATGTGTAGCGAAGGCTTTTCTGGTATATGACAGGACGTTATTCCTATAAATAAACCCTCAAGAGAGACCAGTAAAGGGAAACTCAAGGGTGGACTAGCATCCCTTCACTCCCATAAAACAATGCGAGGCTGTTTACAAGTTACGCACACAACCGAACAAAGCAGGATTCCCGGACCCCAGCCCCTCACCCTCTGGCTGCATTCTTCCAGTAATGGAAGTATTCATTTCACCCAGGAAGAAGGCTATCTTCAAAAGGGTTTATATAGAGTAAGATTGTTGCATTTATGTGTTGAGAAATATGTGTTAAGAATATATATATATATATATACACATACATACATACATGCATGCATGCATACATACATGTAACAGTAATTAGTGAAATAGAGGCCATGAATTTGAAAGATCACAGGAAGGGGCATAAGAAGGGCTGTTGGGGAGAGGAAAGGATAAAGGATGAAATTATCTCAAAAAATTATTTTTTAAAAAGAGGGTCCTGCCCCCATAGTGCT